AAAAAAAAAATCAGTGATTATATTTTCTCCAGTTTGTCTCATTCATATTGGGTGATATAGTTACAAATTTAAAAAAAAACAAATGTACCTAACTTAATAGGTAATACATTTCATTTATGCATTGCACATATGCTTAGTATAAAGTAGTGAAGATTTAAAATTGTCTTGATCCCCCTTAAAAATTTATATATTTTGTTAATAAATCTTGTGAAACATGTTTCTGTGAAAAATAGATAATACGGTTTACATTTTTTTTTTGCGTTTCTTGCTATATTTTAAAATCCATTGTGTTTAGGACTATTGGGACAATTTACAAAATTATAGACAGGAACGATTTTGTGTACACTAGCATGTATCTCACCCCTGGAATCATATTGCTTGTCTTTGATAGACCAATCATGGATGTGCAAATGCTCCACTTGCAACAACAAGTTTGTTTTCATACTAAGTATCTAATGTCTTGTTTCTGTCTCTGCTCACCATGTCTTTTGTTACCATGACAACGATTTGTAAGTCATCATCATCTGCACAGATTCACAGCGATTTTTTTTTTTTTTTTTTTATATTTCCAATTCTCATTTAGCTCTGGCATCCTTTTTCGTCAGCACATCTTGATTTGTTAAATGCATGGCATATTTTTGCTGGTAGCTATTAATACTAATTCATAGATACGTAGTAATGAAATAGCTGGTGTCTCATCAATGTACACAATAAGGGCTTTCCCATCCTACTTCTTCCCATCATTACTACATCAATTCCTGCGCTGCATAGTTCCTATGTCTGCTGCATGTTTGTATACATGCATTGTCCAGCATGGAAGCAACGTATCGGCCCCTTTGATGTAAAACACCATCCTAGCATGCTCTCACCATCGAATGAATTACTTTATTTATATCTGCATTTGCATGCCAGCTATTGCAACATGTCTATCTGATTGTTAAATTTCATACTTTATCTCATCAGCTCTCGCATTTTATTTCAAACTTCTTATTCTATTTTTTTTTTCAAAAAATATCTTTCTACACTATCAATGTAGCTTAGTTTAGACCACCTCCTGTCTCCCCAGCCCTCTTGTTACATTGGGTTTGGTTCCCAAAGTGTTCCTACTGATTAGAGATTAGAACTAGTTATAATACTTGTATCAAATCTAAGCTGGTATTGTCACGTGTTAGGCCAATTTTTGTTAATTTTCTAGTAGTATCATTAACCCTTTAAGCACTTTTATTTTTATTTTTGGCAACATTTTGTTATATTTTTATGAATATTTCTATATTTTTTGGACAAATTTTGAAATAAAATGACTTAGTTGTTGGAGAAAATATAAAAAAAAAAAAGATTTAGATTTTTATTTTATTTTACTGGGTTAACTGTAATAGTTATAGATCATACAAAATTTTCAGTGCACATTAAAAAATGTTGTGTACTGAGAACATTTTGCTTCTTTACAACTTAATCAGTTGTATCACGGTTGACTCCAACAGGTTATCTACTAACTGTTTAGCAGTTGGATTCATCAACAACCATATGGATCCTATTTTTACAGTAGCATGTTTAGCCTGATTGCTTTTGATTAACATACTAGTAAATTTGTCTCGATCACCAGCTTAACTTTGATAACTTTTCAGTGGGATGTAATAATAAAAAAGTTGTTTTTTCATCCATAGGTGATGGTAAATTATCTTATTGTGTATGCAATATGTGATTTAATAACTGTAATACTGTAGAATACTTTATTTTCGCTTGGAATTTATTTTCGCTATTTTTGCTGAAGAGATGATTCCGTGAAAATAAAATCCAGCGAATAAACTTTTTTTCCTATATTTCACATTAAACTCATCATAAATCAGCAAAAATAAATTCCATACAAAACGCCCAAAAAGCCTTTTCAGCGAAAATTTAATTCCAGCGAAAATAAAGTATTCCACAGTATTCAAATTTGTCTTCTTTTCTTGTTCTCAACTAGCTGAACGACGGAAACAGTTGCAGCGCTCGCGATCACGCGTTGGAGGGCAATTACTTCAAGGTTTCCAGGCAAACGACACTAACAATAGTGACACACCCAAATCGTCAAGGACTAGAGGGGTAGGGAAAACCCATGACAAGGAAAACATGCAGGGGTGTGAGGATGCGTCTGATGCGCAGCAGTTGCTTGAAAGGTTGAAAGCACTGTGAGGTTATAATCCTACAGATTAGATTGTTAGCATACCGGAGTGTGTGTAAATATATTAGGAAGTACGTTCAGGTGGATGATGATTGAAAAATCTTGCCAAAGCATTGTGTGGATTGGCTTAATGAATTGATTTACGCCATTTAGGATACATGAATTATGCACTTGAAGACTCCGCCTACAGATGTCTGCCAAATGTCTGCTAATAGATTGACTCTCATCTTTTTTAAATAAATGATTGATACAATGATGTCTAAGCTGAACACTAAAGAGACTGTTTCAGTGAAACCTGTCTAAACTGAACACCAGAGGGACCGTTTCAGTGAAACCTGTCTAAGCTGAACACCCAAGGGACTGATACAGTGAAACCTGTCTAAACTGAACACCAGAGGGACCGTTTCAGTAAAACCTGTCTAAGCTGAACACCAAAGGGACTGTTTCAATGAAACCTGTCTAAGCTGAACACCCAAGGGACTGATACAGTGAAACCTGTCTAAACTGAACACCAGAGGGACCGTTTCAGTAAAACCTGTCTAAGCTGAACACTAAAGGGACCATTTCGGTGAAACCTGTCTAAACTGAACAAAGAGACCGTTTCATAAAACCTGTCTAAGGTGAACACCAAAGGGGCCGTTTCAGTGAAACCTGTCTAAGTTGAACACCAAAGGGACTGTTTCAGTGAAACCTATCTAAGCTGAACACCAAAGGGATTGTTTTAGTGAAACCTGTCTAAGCTGAACACCAGAGGGACCGTTTCAGTGAAACTTGTTTAAGCTGAACACCAGAGGGAATGGGATAATTATTTGATTTTCAAAGGTGTCTGATTTTTAGCAATCTTTATACCAATATAAGCATGTCTATGAAGAATTGTTAGAAGAGCATTTATGAAATATTCATGTCTGCATCAGGTTCGGTTGAGACAGGTTTTACTCTGAATACAAGTCACTACATGTGTGTTACTGATCATTTCTGAATGCCCATTGTCTCTCTCTCATCTGTCCTGTCCTGTTGATTCCATTATCAATTTTAGATTCTCCAAATTACAGACTGTAAATATTACAATATTGACATCCATAATGCATTCTTAGTTGGAATGTAAATTTTGTTGTATGTTCATCCTTTTAACAGATTTGCGTTGTAGAGGCCAAAATTGTTTGATGGATGTAATTTATGTTGATCTTATGTTGTCATAAAGCAATTGAGGTGTGATATGACCAGTTTTAGGTATTTTAGACTGCTGTAATTTTTTGTGAAGACAAAAGTGATTCACTGTCTAGTGGCACATCACAAAAATTGATATTTCTATTTGTTTTTGTGTCATTTACATCACCTAAGCACTTATGTAAAAGAAAAAAAAACTGGTGTTGACATGTCAAGTCAGTGTAAAAGGGGCTTAAAAATAATAGCTCCAATCCGTTATAAGAGGGTATCAGCACCGGCGTAACTGACTTTTATGATAGCAGAAAAAAGATATTCAACACAAAACATAAATACCATCACACCATTCGGAAGATAATTTGGATCATAAACTACATTGGAGTGCCATGGTCATCTGCATTGATGTTTAACTTAATTCATAGTAGGTCTCTTACAATATGAGTGGAATATTTAGGCTGTTAAACTTATACTGTAAAATGACTAATTTTCACTGGGTTTCAATTTTGCCGATTATCATTTTCAGTGGGTTTTAAATTCACGGTTTTACCATTTTGATAATGTGTTCTATGCTAAATTTTACATATTCACTGGGTTTTAATTTAGCGCCTTTTCCAGTCGGCGAAATAAGCAAAATTAAAACCCAGTGAATAATCAACCCTTTTACAGTATGCGTAAAACTCGTAATCAGCTGCTTTGTTCAGAATGCACACAAAGAACATGGATATGGAATCTGGGGGTCAAATTGTTCACATTATCCAGTGGCTGCTATATTTACACCCCTTCTAATAAAAATACTAAAATTGTTAGATCCTTATTTTTATACCAAGCACAACTTGCTCTCATGAGAACGCAGTAACCATCTTCCCTGACAATGGTTGACATATATCCACAATGACGACTGACTTTACATTTAGGTTAGACTTAGTTTGACAAATTTGTTAATATCACACTTTTTTCACTTTCACAGCTACACTGCAATAAAATAATTATGATGGTCATGGTAAAGGTCCCAGCATATGGAAGTATGATAGTCACATTCAGATATGTTAATATGACACTCTTTCACTTTCACAGCTACACTGCAATAAAATAATGATGATGGTCATGGTAAAGGTCCCAGCATATGGAAGTATGATAGTCACATGCAGATATGTTAATATGACACTCTTTCACTTTCACAGCTACACTGCAATAAAATAATTATAATGGTCATGGTAAAGGTCCCAGCATATGGAAGTATGATAGTCACATGCAGATATGTTAATATGACACTCTTTCACTTTCACAGCTACACTGCAATAAAATAATTATAATGGTCATGGTAAAGATCCCAGCATATGGAAGTATGATAGTCACATGCAGATATGTTGCTATACTATTATGGGATGCATATTGAATGTCCATTGCTCCCATCCTTTGACACATTGTCTGCTGATCCCTCCCCCAGTTCATTTTTGCTATTCAGGGGGGCTTTCATCAAGCGCTGTGCTCAACTGCAAATGTATTTTAGATACCATTGATTTAAGAATTTGTGTACATTTTGCCTCCAGATATCCCTATAAATTACAATTAATGTCACCTGCTATATAACCACTCCATTATGCAATAATTAGTTTCCTACACTCAACCCATAATGAAATACATTGTATTATATTTGACATTTAAAATTGTTTGTCATATTCACTTTATGTATATTTACTATTATATGATTTTGTTTTATTTAGTTTGTGTAGAAAAACATTTTTAACAAATGTGGATTATTATATTATTGAGCTAAAAATCAAGCTGCCAAAATTTTGTGAAAAGTCCTGCATACACAAAATGTTTCTGATACGAATACATTCCATATTAGTATATTCTGTCAACATTCTTGTTTGATTCTATTAAATTGCACATAGATTCCTTATTGTATGCAACATTTGATGACATGTACACAATATTTGATGACACATACTCTACATTTGATGACACATACACTGCATTTGATATGCACACAATTTTTGATGGCAAGTCCATTTTTATGATTTTATAAGCAACTCAGTCTTATTGGACTAAAATGTGCTTTAGGAATGTTTGATAACCTATTCAGATTCTACAGATTACCCGACGACACTAATAACATGCCATTTTGTTTAATGGAGCCATTATCTACATTACACATGCATGGGTTATTATTTTTCCTTCTAGCCTATGAAATTTTTTTTACGCCGAATGTCATCTTGTATATACCGGTATATTTTATTTCTATTGAACTTTCCATTACTGACTTTAT